GGAACCCACCAGTCAACCTTCCCGCTCATCACAACCTGGTGAGTCAAGTTGTTCCTGATGACGAAGATGGACCAATGTCCTGCCTCCTCACCCCCCCCCCCCCCAGGTGTTACAGGTGTTAATATCACCTGTATCAGCCACTGTGGAACACTCTCCACGTCAACACACTGCCAGGTCACTCACTATGGTGCTCGGGCCACACTACACACTACACTCCGGTATGGTGTTGCAGACACCACTGCTACACGCCGCCTGTGCTGGCCCCTGACGCTCGCTGCTGGCCCCTGACGCTCGCTGCTGGCACATACTGCTCTTGTAACTACAACTTGTTATTGAGATTTGTCTTAAGGGTTAATATAGCATTAGTTATGATGAGAGCATCACTGTGTTGACGTAACTTAGCATGGGATCTTATAACTAGGTTTTGGTCTCTATAACACTTCAATGTCCCGAGTGTGTGTGTGTGTGTGTGTGTGTGTGTGTGTGTGTGGTGTGTGTGTGTGTGTGTGTGTGTGTACTCACCTAGTTGTACTCACCTAGTTGTGTTTGCGGGGGTGAGCTCTGGCTCTTTGGTCCCGCCTCTCAACCGTCAATCAACAGGTGTACAGATTCCTGAGCCTATTGGGCTCTATCATATCTACATTTGAAACTGTGTATGGAGTCAGCCTCCACCACATCACTTCCTAATGAATTCCATTTGTCAACCACTCTGACACTAAAAAAGTTCTTTCTAATATCTCTGTGGCTCATTTGGGCGCTCAGTTCCCACCTGTGTCCCCTTGTGCGTGTTCCCCTTGTGTTAAACAGCCTGTCTTTATCTACCCTATCAATTCCCTTGAGAATCTTGAATGTAGTGATCATGTCCCCACTAACTCTTCTGTCTTCCAGCGAAGTGAGGTTTAATTCCCGTAGTCTCTCCTCGTAGCTCATACCTCTCAGCTCGGGTACTAGTCTGGTGGCAAACCTTTGAACCTTTTCCAGTTTAGTCTTATCCTTGACTAGATATGGACTCCATGCTGGGGGCTGCATACTCCAGGATTGGTCTGACATATGTGGTATTCAAAGTTCTGAATGATTCTTTACACAAGTTTCTGAATGCCGTTCTTATGTTAGCCAGCCTGGCATATGCCGCTGATGTTATCCTCTTGATATAGGCTGCAGGGGACAAGTCTGTGTGTGTGTCTGTGTGTCTGTGTGTAAGTGTGGGGAGGGGGGGGCACTCACATACATGTGCTTACAGGGCCAAGCTAGGCTCCTGGGCCCCGCCTTCCGAACGTTTTTAGAATATTGTAATGACTCATTTATTTCATTTTAACCATATTTAAATTAAAATCTCCTAAACTGACTTATCTTCAACCACTTTTTAACTCTTACCTATTTAATTTAAGACAGCTCTAACACTGAACAAGATTTTCGGCCGTATCTTGACTCATTTGTGTCTCCAGTTTCCATCCATAACTCCTCGCTCGGCTGTTCCTAACTTTGAATAATGCTACTTTGTCTACTTTGTCAAATTCCTTCAGAATCTTGTATGCTGTTATCATGTCCCCTCGATCTCTCTCTTTTTTTCCCTTCCAATGTGGTAAGGCCCCAGTTCTCTCAGTCTTTCCTCGCAGCTCAATTCCTTCAGCTCCGGAACCAGTCTTGTTGCACAGCTTTGGATATTTTCTAGTTTCTCTCGTGTCCGTGTTCGGGCAGGGGTTCCACGCCGGGGGTACATACTCATGAATGAGAACGAGTCATTTTCACGGGGAAAGACTGAACAAAAAATGTACAGTAAGTCTGAATAAGTCATTTACAGGAAGACTGAACAAGTCAGAGAGGAAAGTCTGAACAAAGGAGTCACAGGAGAGTCTGAACACGTCATCGAGGGTCAAAAAAATGGTCCAAGTTCACAGCTTGATCGTGAAATATTTGGCCAAAGTTCACGGCGGACTGACTTAAAGTTTGCTGATCTGTATTCCTCGATGATCACGTTGACTGCCGTCAGATGTCTCTGTCTGTGTCACCCTGGCCAGCCTCTGTCTGTGTCACACTGGCCAGCCTCTGTCTGTGTCACCCTGGCCAGCCTCTGTCTGTGTCACCCTGGCCAGCCTCTGTCTGTGTCACACTGGCCAGCCTCTGTCTGTGTCACCCTGGCCAGCCTCTGTCTGTGTCACACTGGCCAGCCTCTGTCTGTGTCACCCTGGCCAGCCTCTGTCTGTGTCACCCTGGCCAGCCTCTGTCTGTGTCACCCTGGCCAGCCTCTGTCTGTGTCACCCTGGCCAGCCTCTGTCTGTGTCACCCTGGCCAGCCTCTGTCTGTGTCACCCTGGCCAGCCTCTGTCTGTGTCACCCTGGCCAGCCTCTGTCTGTTTCACCCTGGCCAGCCTCTGTCTGTGTCACCCTGGCCAGCCTCTGTCTGTGTCACCCTGGCCAGCCTCTGTCTGTGTCACCCTGGCCAGCCTCTGTCTGTGTCACCCTGGCCAGCCTCTGTCTGTGTCACCCTGGCCAGCCTCTGTCTGTGTCACCCTGGCCAGCCTCTGTCTGTGTCACCCTGGCCAGCCTCTGTCTGTGTCACCCTGGCCAGCCTCTGTCTGTGTCACCCTGGCCAGCCTCTGTCTGTGTCACACTGGCCAGCCTCTGTCTGTGTCACACTGGCCAGCCTCTGTCTGTGTCACACTGGCCAGCCTCTGGCTGTGTCACACTGGCCAGCCTCTGGCTGTGTCACACTCGCCAGCCTCTGTCTGTGTCACCCTGGCCAGCCTCTGTCTGTGTCACACTGGCCAGCCTCTGGCTGTCACACTGGCCAGCCTCTGGCTGTGTCACACTGGCCAGCCTCTGTCTGTGTCACCCTGGCCAGCCTCTGTCTGTGTCACACTGGCCAGCCTCTGTCTGTGTCACACTGGCCAGCCTCTGTCTGTGTCACACTGGCCAGCCTCTGGCTGTGTCACACTGGCCAGCCTCTGTGTCACCCTGGCCAGCCTCTGTCTGTGTCACCCTGGCCAGCCTCTGTCTGTGTCACCCTGGCCAGCCTCTGTCTGTGTCACACTGGCCAGCCTCTGGCTGTGTCACACTGGCCAGCCTCTGGCTGTGTCACACTGGCCAGCCTCTGTCTGTGTCACCCTGGCCAGCCTCTGTCTGTGTCACCCTGGCCAGCCTCTGTCTTTGTCACCCTGGCCAGCCTCTCTGTGTCACACTGGCCAGCCTCTGTCTGTGTCACCCTGGCCAGCCTCTGTCTGTGTCACCCTGGCCAGCCTCTGTCTGTGTCACCCTGGCCAGCCTCTGTCTGTGTCACCCTGGCCAGCCTCTGTCTGACTGTCACCCTGGCCAGCCTCTGTCTGTGTCACCCTGGCCAGCCTCTGTCTGTGTCACCCTGGCCAGCCTCTGTCTGTGTCACCCTGGCCAGCCTCTGTGTCACCCTGGCCAGCCTCTGTCTGACTGTCACCCTGGCCAGCCTCTGTCTGACTGTCACCCTGGCCAGCCTCTGTCTGACTGTCACCCTGGCCAGCCTCTGTCTGTGTCACCCTGGCCAGCCTCTGTCTGTGTCACCCTGGCCAGCCTCTGTCTGTGTCACCCTGGCCAGCCTCTGTCTGTGTCACCCTGGCCAGCCTCTGTCTGTGTCACCCTGGCCAGCCTCTGTCTGTGTCACCCTGGCCAGCCTCTGTCTGTGTCACACTGGCCAGCCTCTGTCTGTGTCACCCTGGCCAGCCTCTGACTGTGTCACCCTGGCCAGCCTCTGACTGTGTCACCCTGACCAGCCTCTGACTGTGTCACCCTGACCAGCCTCTGTCTGACTGTCACCCTGACCAACCCCGTTATAGTGTCTCTTCTGAATTTATGAAAATCTGTCAATTCAAAAGTGGGAAAAAAACTTTATTTATTCAA